GATGTGGGCGGAGACGGCCCTACTCTTGATTGGCGGAGGTTTTGATGTGGGCGGAGACGGCCCAAGAGACGTGATTGGTCAGATTGATGGTGAGGTTTGAGGAGGCTGGAGGCAGCGGGGAGTAGCTTGGTCGAGTCGGGCAGGAAGTAACGTTTTTAAGATTAATTTTAGTCATAACTTGAGAAAGGAAAGTGCTAGCTGCACGAAATTTGAACGTCATACATGTGAAAGGATGTGTAGCAATATGGCTCAGTTAAAACATCCCTAAACAGCCTGTAAAATGATCTCTAAAAATCAAATTTTTTACAGGCTGGTTAGGGATGTTTTGACCGAGACATATTGTTACACATCCTTTCACATGTACGATGTTCAAATTATGTGCAACTTTCTCAAGTTATGACTAAAATTAATCTAAAAAACAAAACATGTTACTTCCTGCCTGACTCAACCAAGCTACTCCTCACTGCCTCCAGCCTCAAACCCCACCATCAATCTGACCAATCACGTCTCGGGCCATCTCCGCCCACATCAACACCTCTGCCAATCACGAGCAGGGGTGTCTCCGCCCACAGGACAACACGTTGTGTAGAGACCCCTACTTGTTTCTGTCTGATGTCAGTGACACCAGGTGTGCAGACCTCTTCTTCCACACTTTGCCCCTGAGCTACCTGAGATTTCAGAATCCAGTGTCGTACTTTATGTTTATGTGTTCAGAGCACCATTTTCACACAGATATGTCCAACGGACTGGTCTAACCCGTGTCCCCCCACCCCACCTGGATGCCTGCAGGTGGTGATAAACTGTGCCATTCCCAAGGGGCTGAAGTACAACCAGGCCACGCAGACCTTCCACCAGTGGCGCGATGCTCGGCAGGTCTACGGCCTCAACTTTGGCAGCAAGGAGGACGCCAACGTCTTCGCCAGTGCCATGATGCACGCACTGGAGGTGCTCAACTCCCAGGACACAGGTGAGACCCTCCGAGCCTCTGGGCTTTAATACCTGTGATCTGCTTGTGTCCAAACAAAACTCAGGACTTTGACTGAGGCGACTGAAGCAAGAGTCCGTTTTGGAACCGTAGTTTCATCGCAGGACATCTTGAAGGGTTTAGTTTGTGTAGTCAGCTGTGTTGTGTTTGTACAGATGCACATTGTGTAATGGTGGCATGTGCAGCTGTTTGCTGGACTCAAAGCAGATTCTCCCTCAAGGATCATAGAGTTCATCTCATCTTGTGACAAAATGGTTTCTGTAAATGAGTTTTTAAAGTGCAGCAAACATTAAAACCCCTGCATCAAATGTCCTGTGAGCCCTCTTGTCCACAGAACAGGAAGAGTCTCAACTGTTACCACTCTTTAATAATTACCTGCTGGTTTGTTTTCAACTATTTTGGCTCATTTGTTCTGAGTTTTCACTGACTTCTTAATGTCATCTTAGCTCCAGCAGGGCACAAAACATTTTAGTTTCACATCAAAAACTTTAGGATGTCCCTAAATGTGGAGATACAACAGCTACAACAAGCTAATGGAAAGCTTTTATTGTGACGAGCAGTTTCCTGTCTGCCTTTTAGTGCTTCAAGAATTACAAAAAACACAATTCTCCATTTACAGACACAATGTTGTTTGTTACCTTTTGCTAGAAGCTGTTTCCATTACAAATGTGCACAAAACCTTGTTGATATTCTGTTAATGTTGAAAAACACAGTTTCACAACTGCAGTGTTTCCATTAAGAAATGTTATTAAAGTCACGTGAATACGTTTGTTCTCATGATAAGTCATTACTTAACGGCACGACGGCTCAGTGGTTAGCACCGACGCCTCACAGCAAGAAGGTCCTGGGTTCGATCCCCGGTTCGGACCTGGGGTCTTTCTGTGCGGAGTTTGCATGTTCTCCTCGTGCTTGCGTGGGTTTTCTCCGGGTACTCCGGTTTCCCCCACAACACAAAAACATGTACAATAGGTTGCCTTCAGGCCCAGGCCGCCCTTGAAAAAGAGATCTGAGATCTCAATGGGACTTGCCTGGTAAAATAACGGTAAATAAAAAAAATAAAATAAAATAAAATTACAACAGGTGTTGATCAGAAGCGTGACCCAAAGCAACAGTCAGCAGGATGTATACCTTCACAATAAGAGTGTTTATCTGGGAGGGGTGCTGTTGGATAGATCACATGTTGTGATTCATTGACAGTCATACCTTCTGCTGTTCAACATAATGATGACTGGTAGATAATTAGTTATTAGTGGTACTGCTTTTTAATTTTAGAAAGTGCAAATCTGCTTATGAACTATAAAAATTAGTAAGACCGCTAAAGCGCAAATGAAATATTTAGGTCTGTAATTAGTGGATTTGCACTTCAGTAGTCTGGTGCCACCACTGCTGATCAGTCTGTTTTCTCCTGACAGTCTTTGTATCCATTCAGCATCAGTGCAGTCTGAAAGTGGACCAGGGTCAGGTCCTGTTTGTTTTATAAAAATATAAATGTTCCGTTCTGAGAGTGAGATTCATGATTTTCTGACTCGTGTCTGTCCTCCTGTCAGCCTGATGAGAACAGTTTGTGATGACAGGATCCAGCTGCTGCTCCACGTGATCCTTCAGGCCCCACGTTGTCCCCTCTGCTCCACCCTGAGCCTGCTCTCAGCACGTTTAATCCCTCCACTAATGAAGCTGATTGTGATGTGCCTCATTATCCTAATGCAACAGAGACGTGTGTGTGTGTGTGTGTGTGTGTGTGTGTGTGTGTGTGTGTGTGTGTGTGTGTGTGCTCTGAAGCAAGGGCTGAAATGAAAAAAGTCTAAACTAACCTGAAGCATCGAGTTAGAATTGATGCACAAATACTGTCCAAACACACCTGTTGTTGCTCAGGCAGCACTTTGATTTAAATTAAGTTTTAATTGATGCAAAGAACTGCTTAGTGATGTCATGTATGACCCCCACTCGTACACAAAGCACCAGTGCACCAGAGCTCACCAGAACAGATGAACTGTTTTGGGTTTGGGTCTGGAGGGGATCATTTACCTGTTCACACAGCACAGATCTGGACAGCCCTTCATCACAACTAAACAACAACAAAGTCTGAACCCCTTTGAGTTATAAGCATTTCTGTATGTCCAGTATGACCTTTTCAAATGGAGCCCCCTCCTCTAATATGGGGTCCATCATAAAACCATTGGCTGGTGCAGTGTAGGTCGAACACATCTACAGTCCTGACAAACTTCACGTTGATCAGTGCAGCTGTTACTGTGCTGATTGACCAAAGACCTTATGGTGGGGGGGGCAGTATGAAAACAATGACTCAGCTAACAGTTATTGAATTTAATAAACATTAGTAACAGAGGAGCTCAAATCTGCTCTTTATTCACTGATTGACAGAATCCAACAAATGGTTTTTTGACAAAAGTCCTGATGTGAAAAACTTGTGATCCTCCTTATGTGAGTGGTCTCTAATGATACTCAACCAAACACCCTGAGAAGTCATGGTCCACTTCTAACCAGACATCTAGACCTACAGATGCTTTGATCAATCAAACTTAGAGGAGAGTGGTTAGGTTAAACAAATACTTTGGTATGAAGTGTAAGAGTAGGCTTCAGATTTTTATCCAGAGGTAGACATAAGTATACAACCTGTTCACAAAACCTGGTTGTCCTAAAGAATCTCTATAAAATGTAATTTAACAAGTATATTGTTGTGTAGATGAAGTTTATTATATATAATTGTTGTCAGTCAGCAGGTTGACAGGATCTGTGTGAATAAAACTTCATTCTCTTCTTTGAAATAAAGTATTTAAGGCTCAGGGAGTAAAGCAGCAAACTGTTGTTAATAAAATCTAGAGGTTACCAACATTCATCAACTTCTTTCTGCTCATAGGTCAAACATTTTCACTTAAACTGGAGTATACTGTGTACATGACCTTAATAAAAGTTACAGTTTAGTGTTCTGTTTGCTTTTACCAAGTTTTTTCTCCCTTTCATTTTTACAAATGATGGACACTCAGAGAACTTTAATCAAGGTCTTTTTTGGAGACAGGATCTGGTTGAAATAAAAATAGGTTTTCTCAGACAACCTAAACAATGGTTATATCTACCCCTGTTTATCTGTTTTTCTTTCCTGCAGACCAAAACAGATTTTAAATTTAAATGTAGTCCTGAGTGTTTGCTCTGAAAGCCTCCCTCCTTGCTTCTCTTTTCTCTCTTCATTTCATTTTTCTCCTCTTCCTGCAGCGTTGCTGTCTGTTTTCCACAGTAGGTTTGAGCCAGCCTCTGGTCCGGCTCACTGCACACAGAAGGTGTCGGGGTTTCCTCCTCTGTGACCCTGCTGGTTCACACTCCATCACTCACACTAAATCCTTATGTTCCTTTGTTGTCTTTCTTTACAAACTAGTTTTAACCTGCGTCTGCGTTCATTCGGTGTGCTGGTTGTGTCTAATGTTTCCCATCATGAGGGAGCCCTGCTGGGAAGGATTCATTCACAAACATTCTTCTTTCTTTGCAAGTAAATCCAGTTGCTCTGCTCCTGAAACTGGTTTATTGATTGAATTTGAATGAAAGGTTATAAAATGATGTTACTAAGACTTATTGTTTTATTTCATAGCTTTAGCATTTGAGTTGCAGTGGTCTTTGAGATGATATGTAAATGGTAAATGGACTGTACTCATACAGCTCCTTTCTATCCATCCAGGACACTCAAAGCTCTTCACATTCACACATTCACACACTGATGGTGGTAAGCTACACTGTAGCCACAGCTGCCCTGGGGCACACTGACAGAGGCGAGGCTGCCATACACAGGCACCACCGGACCCTCTGACCACCATCAGTAGGCACAGTGGGTGAAGTGTCTTGCCCAAGGACACAACGACTGAGTCGATTGGATGGGGATCAAACCGGTGACCTTCCGGTTCCAGGTCGACTCCCCTAACCACTCTACCACAGCCGCCCCAACAATGTGTCTGACTGATGTGCAGAAAGCCTGATCTGTGTGGTGTGGGCACAGTTTTGCTACATTGTGGAAACCATTTTCCAGAAAAAGGCAGCCTCGTGGGGACTGACTGTGCATCGTGGGTAGCAGTGCCTGGTCCCCGAGGGTACAGGTGCTAGTTTTGGGTGGGAGGTTTGGTTTAGGACCAAGGTGTGACTTGAGTTTAGGTTAATTTTAGGGTCTGGTAGGTACCTGTGAGGTTAATGTTGGGGTAAATGGTCAGGGTTAGGATATAAAATTACCAGAAAATGAATGGAAGTCAATCCATAGTCCCCACGGAGGTATAAAAACAAACCTGTGTGTGTATGGGGTTGGGGGGTTATTCCCTACATCGTGGGACAGTTTTTTGGGCATACACACCTACTTGTAGGAACCTAAGGTTACCTATGGGGACCTGACAAGTCCCCATGAGGGGAAACACTGTTGGTGGGTCGGGGGCTAAGTAACTTCAGGGTCAGGCTGTAGAACTTAATGGAAGTCAATGCCAGGTCCTCATAAAGATAGCTGTACCAGACTGTGTGTGTGGTAACAAAACATCCCACGAGCCTGAGAACAGATTTTAATGAAACTCTGATAATCAGTCGTACATTTACACATCAATAATTAATAAAAGATTTTAAATTAATATTAGACAATAATTCTATTCAAGATGGCCGCCTCAGCTAAATGACATTGACCAACACAGAAATGAACACAACTCCTTCAGTTTTACAGACACTGAGCTATTTATTTATTTATTTATTAAATTTTATTTATTTATTTATTTATTTATTTATTTATTTTATTTTATTTTACCATTGTTTGACCAGGCGATGAGATCTTGGATCTCTTTTTCAAGGGAGGCCTGAACACAACCTGTTGGTCATGTTTTTGTGCTGTGGGGGAAACCAGAGTACCTGAAGAAAACCCACACAAAGGGGGACACACAAACTCCACACAGAAAGACCCCAGGTCCAAACCAGGGATTGAACCCAGGACCTTCTTGCTGTGAATAGAA